TCCTCCTCATCTGCTGCATCCAGCTGGCCTCCACGTGGTGCGGTGCAAACGACGTGCACCGCACCAGTCATTCCTGGGTGCAGGATCGACGACGCCTCGGAAGACACCAGCGCGATGCAGTCGGCCCGTATTCATAAGGATGCGCGACAAGAACGCAAGGGCCTTGGACGCCCATTCCGAAGCTTCTCGACCAGGGCGCGGCCAACGCATGACCTCTTCCGCGGAGCGGAAAAAACTAAGCCCCCCTCCTTGGCCGTAGTGTAGTGTCATAGTGTAGTATCGCACCGCGGTGTCCCCAACACTTTACGGTGACACCACAGTAACCTTAGTGTAGTGTCATACTGTAGTGTCACACGCAAGGACTCTCGACACTACAAGATGACACCACACTAACCTTAGTGTAGTGTCGTACTGTAGTGTCACACGCAAGGGCTCTCGACAATACACTATGACACCACACTAACCTTAGTGTAGTGTCGTACTGTAGTGTCACACGCAAGGGCTCTCGACACTACACTATGACACCACACTAACCTTAGTGTAGTGTCATACTGTAGTGTCACACGCAAGGGTTCTCGACACTACACTATGGCACCACACTAACTTTACTCTCTTCACGATCAAGAGTTTTTATTCACGAGTAAGGTTTCCCAATGCAAGTTTCTCTCAAACGGCCCAGCTCGAACCCCCCCCCAAAACACATGATAAATCCGCAAGGCGGCTTTAGGTTTGCAAGCCACAACATGGACAAACAACACATGGCCACAGCAGCGGGCGACGCGGGTGACCGGATCACCCGCTCCTGTGTTCACACTATCCACACGGCAGCGCTCCCCATGCGTTGTTTTTGTTCGAAAGTCCCAGCTGAAACCCAGAAACCCACATGAATACCCCTGGAAACGACTTTAGGTCTTCGGGCCACAACATGGGCCTACATTATTGTGTCCTATGTAATTTTTGACTGGTGGCCGCAGCAACGGTGATGAGGGTGACCAGAGTTACTCGCTCGTGCGTTCGCACTATCCGCGCGGAAGCGTTCCCAATACACTTTTCCCTCAAAGTGCTCAGCGTCAACCTTCTCAAACCCAACTGCCACATGGAATGACAAACGCCAGCGGATGACATGTGTCACCCACGGGCGTTTGTCCTATCACGCAGCAGTAGCACATGGCCAACTTAAGTCAGTAATCCGAATGGCACTTTAAACATTAAAATGGAATGACAAACCCTAAAGATATAATTTCGCCTCAAATCGAATATGCGCAGACCTCATACGATCCATGGAGATATCCTGCAGATTCCTCAAGGATTGCGGATTTCGCGCAAGCTTTTCAGGAACTGTGCAGCCTCCCTGGACGTCGTACACACTGAACATGTTCGAAAGGCCGCGTGCGCTGGATGACGTCCGACGCATTGCCGGGCAAGTGTGCAGACACGGTACTGCATAGGCGCCTGGGGCTCGGCAGGCAGATATCGGGGGCGGCCAAAAGGGGGGCGTCTAAGAGGGGGGGCCGCAAATCACGGCTGGCGGCGCGTGCGCGGCCCAGGGGCGGGACCAGGGACGCATTGAAATAAGAAGAGACGCCATGAAATCTGAGGAGATATCATGCCCCCCGCCATGATACCCCCCCCTTCCTAGTCATCACCCCCCCCTCTTGGCCGCCCCCGAAGATAACCAGACGGTCCAAATGTGGAGCCGAAGACAGGCTGGTGCGACGGCGCCTGCGACGCTGCGACAGCGACGGCTGTTGGAACAGCCAACGGACTGCAGAGCACTGACGCGGGGCGCCCCCTCGTTTGACTTCACACGGAATGCGCGTTCGCCAGCACGCGGGCACCGGGGCCCTCACGGATCGATGCGGCGCGAGACATGCCGTAGGAGGATGGGGCCTGAGGACTCCAGTCGTGGCTTCTCGCCATGCTGCAGCTCTCCGTGCACCAGACAACTCCGACGATATGATCTCTGCAGCCTGCGGTTCTCTCCTTGACTTCGGCCCTCTGCTCCTCCTCCTCCTCCTCCTTCTCGTGCTCCTCCTCCTCCTCCTCCTCCTCCTCCTCTATCTTCTCGTCGTCGTCCTCCTCCTCTGGATGCCACCATGCGCCGAAGGCCAGGAGAAAGAAACATCTTGATCAGACTGGGGAGGCAAGGCACAGACGAGAAAACGGTTGCATCTGAGACTCGTTTTGTTCCTCACACAGTGGGTGGGATGTCGTTCGACCATACACGACTCTGGCTTGTATTCCATTCGAGATGGCACCGTGGACAAGCTCCTCGTGTGACCAATTTGCTTGCAATGAGACCGTATCTATTTGTCGGAGCGCCACCCAACACGTCACGGGAGAAGCACTGCCTCAAAGCCCTTCGATGTTTACACATCCTGAAAGGCACATCGGAAAAGAATGCCACCTAAGGCAGCGCACCTTACTCTCTCTTCGGAGGGGCAGTGCTTCGCTTCTTCAACATTGTTCGGAAGAAGACTGCTGCATAATTCTGCACGCCGTGCTGCCCCTTCGACTGTGATTTTCGAAAGACAACCGCTGTCGAAGTTGACGCGCCCTGCGCTTCCTTCGGAAGGGTGGTGGATTGTATCGCCTGCATCTTTCAACAATGCAGCACTCAGCGGACAACACCTGTCCCTTGACATGTGGGCCGTCGAAACATAATTTAGTAAAGACACCACAATCTGCAACGGAATGCTCCACACAGTCAATATTACCAGGAACACCCAAATCCTCAACTGACACCAACTGCGATGCTTGCACACAAAAGCTCCCACACCTACTGTGGGCAATCCGAATAACAAACAACTAACGAGGGCAAGAAGCAAACTTCGCGTACAATTCCCCCTGCGGAGGACCCATCCAAACCAAGACTTTGCAATCGCGTCAGCATCAGGTGGACATATCGCACCTGCTGCCACACTCTCACTGATGGCGTAGCTGGAGAACGGTGGTGTGAACAAACCGCAAAAGAACGCCTGATAAAAAAATGCAGAGGCCATGTCATCCGTAAAATCGGTGATGAACTCGATGTCTGCTTTCCCAAAGTCCACTGCGGCATTGATGCCGACGCCAAAAACAATGTTCCATATGTATGACTGCGCGGCACACGCCCGAAATGAACCGGATGTGAAGGTATCGCACCACATCTATCTGAGAGCAAGGCCAGTCAAACAGTTACAGACACTGCCGCGTTGAAAATTGAGCCAGATAGGCTTGACCAAAACCAGCTCGAGCGAACAGAAAAATCAATGCATCGCAGATATGGGGGCGTATCGGTAGGGTGGTTCTTGGCGTTTCGCTCGATGCCTCCACGCCACTCATGATCCACCACCCGATGCCGTCTCGAAAATGTAGCTCTTGCATCGGCGCCACGCATACTTGCCCGAAAGTCCCCGACCCCTCGAGGTCTACTCGGCGTGTGAGACTCTTCCCCTCCCCAAAACCGTCCCCCCGGGGACCCCAAGACGGCTTGCACCTTTGGGGGGTCCAAATAATACCCATACCGCACCCATGCCGGTACTCACTAGACCTCTCCCAGTGTGCGTTCTGACCAGCATGTCGATGCGAATCCAGCGGTGGCGACGAGGGCCTCCCAAGAGGCCCCAAAAAGCGGAATCCCCCCTGGTCACGTCACGATTCGCGCCAGCGCCGTCTGGGAAAGAACTGTTCTGAAGCATCGACATGACCGACCACCCCCCCCCCGCCTTCCCCCCATCCCTGGTCACGCCCGTTATCGCCAGGTGGTACAAGAATGGTCTCATGGCGGCCGAGCAGACGGGGTCGGAGGATCGCGCCTCAGGGGCGAAATATCGGCGACGTCGGCGGTGCATCGGCGACGCCGGCGTGGAGAAAATTGGGCTCCACATCGAGCCGCATCGCCAATGCATCGGTGATGTGGAACAATCCTTCGGCCCCATCTACTCGGACCCCATATCCTGGAGCAGGGAGCGGCCGTCCCGGCATTCCTATGTGGAAAGGCTGACCACAAGATGCTACAAGAACCCAGGAACGCTCGAACAGCAACAAAAACAACAACATGCTTAGAAATCAAGGCCGATGTACATATTCAAACAAAGATGGCGGGCTGAGAACTTCGCCAAAACGCCAGAATCGACCTGGCAGGGTGGGGGCGCCGAGCGACGCCGGCGGCGGCCAGCGAGGCCAGCGGTGTAGAGGAAGAAAAAATGGCATGGTGAACGTTTCTCATTCGGCGTTGCGACACTGGGCGGAGGGGGGGGGATCTGGCTCTGGACTTCTGCTTCGCGCGACTGTTTGCAGCAGCGCGTCCTGTGGGGGGAGAGTCCACCTATTCGAAACGGGCGCCCAAAACAGCCAAGATCTACTCCATGGAGAACGATCACATAGACATGAGTGTTCGACGCTCCGCGCAGATTTCCTGGACCTGCGCTGCGCCCTTCGAGCCGTAGGTCGAGCCACCCTCGCCTCGAGGTCCTTTCGAAAAGTTAAAACAAAGTCGAGAACTACCCCAAGTAGTCAAATGATAACAAAAAAGGTCCCCAGACTATTTCTAGACTACTTTTGAATATGCCTCCTGTAGAGGGACAAGCCCAATTTAATCCTGGACTTAGGTCGGGCATGTCCCCCTACAGGCGAATCTTGGAGGAACAATAAAACGTAGTCAAACAATCCTCAAAAATAGCCAAAAATATCGGAAACATCGTCCCCTGACTATCACTACTTTTGCATACTCCTCCTGTAGAGGGACAGGCCCGACTTAATCCTGGACCTGCGCTGCGCCCCTCGAGCCTCGCGCGCGGACCAGGCCGGGGGCGGCGCTGGGGGCGCCGCCAACGGGGGGCCCCGGCGCGGATCCGAGAGATCCGCGCGGACCGTCAAGAGTCTGTGCTTATGCCGTTTCCTCCTCCTCCTCCTCCTCCTCCTCCTCCTCCTCCTCCTCCTCCTCCCTCCTCCTCCTCCTCCTCCTACTCCACCTCCTCCGCCTCCTCCTCCTCCTCCTCGCGATGCTGACTGGCGTCCTGTTCGTGACGTGCCGGTGGCACCGGCAGCCCCCGACGCCAGCGGCCTCCTCGCACGCCGCGCGGGGCAGGTCGCGGCAGGAGCCGGGCGCCTGCCAGGCCGGGTCGGGGGGGCGGCGCTCGGCAGCGGCGACGCTCGGCGGCGAGGAGGACGACCCTCCTCCTGCCTCATCCAGCCTCCGCCTCCGCCTCCGCCTCCGCCTCCTCCTCCTCCTCGTCCTCCTCCTCCTCCGCCTCCTCCTCCGCCTCCTCGATCTCGACCTTCTCCTCCTCGTCCTCCTCCTCTTCGTCCTCCTCCTCCTCGACCTCAAACTTCTCATCCTCGTCCTCCTCCTCTTCGTCCTCCTCTTCCTCCTCTTCGTCGTCGTCCTCCTCCTCCTCATCCTCCTCTTCGTCCTCCTCCTCCTCCTCCTCCTCCTCCTCCTCCTCCTCCTATTCGTCCTCCTCTTCGTCCTCCTCCTCCTCCTCTTCGTCCTCCTCCTCCTGCTCCTCCTCCCTCCTCCTGCTCCTCCTCCTCCTCCTCCTCCTCCAGCCTCCTCCTCCAGCCTCCTCCTCCTCCTCCTCCTCCTCCTCCGCCTCCTCCTCCTCCTGCTCCTCCTCCTCCAGCGTGCAAGCCTGGGCAGAAGCTCGAGTCGGGGGCGCGCAAACATGGATTATTAGCGATCCATGGATTTGGCGCGCGGCCGCCAAATCCATGGATCGGTGGAGGTGCCCTCCCCCAAATGCGGCTGGTGCCGCCTCGCTCGGCGGCGGGAATTCGCAATTTCCCATGGAAACGGGACCCGTCGCTAATCCACGCCCCCTATCCATGTTTGCGATCGCCTGACAGAGAGCGCCCGCCACCGGGTACAACACTTTAAGATCTGTGAGCGCGCGCGCGCGACGCCCCCGAGGGGCCGACGCGTAAGGAATCTTGCTTGGGCGACGCCGAACGGATGAGATCGGTGTGCCTGGAGATCCGCCGTCGTGGAAGCTTCACGGCGAAGAGGGCAATCAGGGGGGCACACGCGAGCCCTGCCCCACCACCCCACGATTCCTGAAGGGGGGAGGTGAGGCTCACTTTGCTCGGCAGCTCTCGAACGAAGTGAACCCCGCCCCTCCCTCCTCAGAGATCGTGGGGCGGTGGGGCAGGGCTCGCATGTGGCCTCCCAGCAATGACGGCCAGAGCTTTCGGCGCGATGCTCGTGCGGGATTCCTCTCGGGACGCGGATCGACACGCTTGGGAGTTCATGTCATTCGAGACTCGAATGAAGTGAACCCCACCTCCCCCCTCAGGAATCGTGGGGCGGTGGGGCAGGGCTCGCGTGTGGCCTCCTAGCAATGACGGCCAGAGCCCTCGGCACAACGCTCGTGCTGGATTCCCCTCGGGACGCGGCTCGACGCGCGCGGGGCCCCCGGGGGGCCTCTACGCCGCCCGAGGGCTGCCCGAAGGCCCAAGGTGTCCCCAGCGTGTTTCGTTCCGGCTTGGAGCCCCGCCCTCTGGCTGGGCCTCGCGGAAGGTGGGGAGGAGGAAGAAGAAGAAGGAGGAGGAGGAGGAGGAGGAGGAGGGGGAGGGGGAGGAGGGAGGAGTAGGAGGAGAGGAGGAGGAGGAGCAGGAGGAAGAGAGGAGGAGGAGGAGGAGAGAGGAGGAGGAGAGGAGGAGGAGGAGGAGGAGGAGGAGGAGGAGAAGGAGGATGCCTTCCAGCAACCGCGCCTGGCCAAGGGGCGAGCCCAGACTGCCCGAACCGACCCCACCGGACGCCGAGCGCCCGAAGCGCAGTCCGAGAGCCACCCGGCCGAGCTTCGAGGCTCAATGCTCGAGGCCCTCGATTCCTTCTGCCCCGCCTCCTCCTGCCCTGTGAGCCGCGGGGGAGGCAAGGGATGGGGGAGGGGGCGGAGGAAAGGGAAGGAAGGGAGGAGGAGGCTTTAAGGTTGGAGGCGAATGGAGCTTGCTCCCTCGGACAACGGAAAGGGAGGAGGAGGAGGAGGAGGAGGAGGAGGAGGAGGAGGAGGAGGAGGGCGCTAGGGCCTATACCTGTGTCTCCCGCGTCCTGCGACTCGATTACTTAGTTATCAGGGTGTTCAAGCTCATCACTCCCTCCAGCCAGGAATCGAGCCTCACCCTCAAAGGCCCTCTCTTCATGGCAAAACATAGACGCCCATCGGGGGTCACCAAAGCCGCGAAGCCGGGCCACACGATACATGTCGAGGGCCTCGGGAAATTCCAACCCATGCCCAGGGACAGGGTCAGCACACCGCGCCGAGGCCTCCGAAGAAAGCAGCCCCCCTTCCCACGACGCTCGGACCTCCTCGGACGGCTCAACACTGTTGCCGAGCATCGGGGGAGGGTGCACCGTCGAATTAGGGTGCAGACTTCGCCTATGCCTGGAGCGCTGGGTCGCAAAACCTTGGTGCTTCGGACCAAAACATGGCCCTTCAAGTCCTTTCCCAAGCCGATGGCTATGCTGCACGCTCGCGCCGTACGAGATGCAAAACAAAACTGGGGCTTCGGACTCTTCCCCGACCACGGGAGCCTGGACCACGTTATGCCTGGAGAACTTCCAGGTCTGGCAGCTCACCCGCCGAAGCCCCGAGGCTTGGGGAATCGGGCCAGGAGGAGAAGCCGAGGAGCCAACGGAGGAGCCGAGAGCAGCAGAGCCAGAGCTAGCCAAGCCTTGATTACCCTCGGGATAGAGTCTCTCGGGCACAGCCTCAAAGAGCCGCTCGCCGTGGCGCTGCTCCAGCCGCGCTTCACACTCTTCGACGAGGTCTGGCGGAACTTGCCATGGCAAGTCAGCTCCACTTCCGCAGTCCCGCCCACCCACCCCCGAGTCTTAGATATCCTTGTCATGTCGCCAGCTGTGGAGGCGACCTAGCCACTCCGCGGCCTGGGTCGCTCTGCGCTCACAGCCTTCTACGAAAAGCTTCTGCCCCTCTTCCATTCGCCAAAGCTGAGCCCCTGCGCGAGCCCACTTGTCCGCGAGACGATCGCCTTTGATAATCCACTGGTCCTCCAAAGACGTGGCTTCTTGCAGCGCGCGGTGGGCCTTAACCTTGACAGCTTTGGCTGAGACACCTACTCTGGAGCACCGCGGCCTCCGCGTCCGACGACGACTGTTGTCAGGCGACAGGGCCGCGGATGGAGATATGGCGCACGCAACCGAACCAGCGCAATCACTGAATGCTTCCAGCGGCGCTCCCTCGTCGCCGTCGCACGGGGCTCACTAAACCTGGCAAGTATGTGAAACGCGCAGCCCACCCCCGCCCCGCGCCCACTGGTCAGGCCCCCGCCCCCGATGGGGCCGCTCCATGCATGCAGGCAAGAAAGTTGCCTCCACTGTCAACTTGAACTGCGGACCAGCCTGCTCTTCTACAGGCTCCGAACTTCGTGCGAAGCGCTGGTCCGTTTACAAAGCCCCCCCCCCCGGAAACATAATAATAATAATAATAACAACAAAAAAAAAAAAAAAAACAAAAAAAAAAAAAAAAAAAAAAAAAAAAAGCCATCCAGACCAAGCGCCGACAAAGCGAACCCCATGCCCCTCCGAAGCTTTTGGGTTTCCAAAACAGCGCTCGGGGTTGGGGAGAAGACACCTGGCAAACAGCTCCGCGCCCCCCCCCCCCCCCCCCCCCCCCCCAAGACTGGCAACCTTCCAGGCAGCCTGCCGAAGACTGGCGGGGAGATCGGTCCTTCGAAGCTCGGCCGAGCAAGGGCAGTCGAACGCACTGTGGAACAACGCGCCCCTGTATCCGCACAACAAACACTTGCCAGTCACAGATTTTTTATACCTGGCGAGCCTCGCATGGGGCCTGTGGGCGCCCGAGACCAAACTGCGAACCAGGTTCCTCTCGTGCCGAGAAAGACCTTTGTCCGCCTTACCGTGCAGAATCCTATCTAGAGGCCCCCAATGCAGCTCTGAAGCCCACGATCCTAGCTTCTTCAGAATGTCAGAAGCAGCCGAGGCCATGCGACGGGCCATGTCGACCACACGGTCAGGGGGAAAAATTCAAATCGACTTCCCCCTCAAGCCCAATCAGCCTGGTGGCAGAGGCCAGGCCTCCTCCGATTCGAGCAAGGGCTAGGGGTAGGGCTCGGGCTGGGTTGGCGCACTTGCCCCACGGAGCCTTCTGCCTGAGAGTCGGACGACCCCCCTCCAACACCGCTTCAATAACCCCTTCGCACGGCAGAGAAGTCTCCAAGCAGGCAGCCGAAGCTCTAACAATTTCCCCTGCATGGATGAGCAGAGGGTCCCTCCAGAACCCACGATGCATGATCCCCATTCGCAGCCCTACACTGGCCCCCGCAGGGGGCCTCCCTTCAGACTTCAGGGCCGCCACCCTCAGACCGCTGAGCTTCCCGTCGGCTATTCCTGTTACCGCGGATCCCCATATAGTAGTCGCCGTGGGCCAGCAACGGAAGACCTGCTCAACTTTGGCGCCCGCAGCCCCCAGCGCGTGGACCCGCCCCGCAGACTTCCGAGCTTTCTCCGGGCGCTTGCTCTGCTCAGCCGCACTGCGCAGCACGCCTGGCGAGCCGTCGCCTCCGAGGCAGCGGGGGCCTCTGGCGCGCGCGAGCTCGCCCTCCCAGGCCTTGGCCAGCAAGCCGGCGAGCTCGGCATCGCCCGTGAGCCAGCCCGCCCTGTCCCAGTTGACTTGCAGCGTGCGCTCGGAGAGGCCGTCGACGAGAAACCGAAGAGCTGCTGGTAACTGCGCTATGCAAAGCGCTTGCTTGCAGCATCTGATCGTCAACGGGCGACTGCGCCCGCGCCAGAGGATACCTTCGCACTTGCTCCATCAACACTGCGTGAACCATCAACTTCGCCAAGCCGAGCGCGCAGCTACGTCCTGCTGCAATAGTGTCATTGGGATATAGACCACAGAAAGAGCTCCAAGATACTGCGCTCGGCGTCCCAGCCTGCACGCGCAGCAGAGAGCCCTCAGCAGCGCCAAGGGACGCCCAGTCGCCTTCGCCTCTCGTGGCAGGATGTCGTGGGACACATACGCATGGTACTTGCTGAGGTCCAGCGCCGCCGCGCCCGATGCCGTGCCCTCCGCCTGCATGCAGTGCGCCGACAGCAGACTGTGAACATGTCCAGCGCGATCGCACGTCCTGCCGAGGCCTCCCCAGTATAAGTCCCCTTCCAGCTGCCATTCCCACTGCGCCACCAGCGGCTGCCTCAGGCGGCTCCACAGCCTCAGCCACATGCAGTTGAGCACAATGGGCCGCGCTCCGCCCCCAGGCGGGGGCTTGGGCAGGAAGGAAATCAGCATGGGGAAGAGACGCGAGTCGATCGGGCCCCGCTCCCACGCGCGCAGCACATCCGGGAACCTCAACTTTAGCTGCGCAGCAGCCACCGCAGCTGCCTGGGATGGACCTTGTCACAGCCACGGGATGCTCTGTCACTGTAGGTGTCGACTACATCCCGCATATCCTGCAGCGTGGGCCTCGGCAATGCAGCAGCGTCGAGCTCCTCCCCTCTCCAGGTGTAGGGATGGGCTTCATCTCGTCGTAGTTCGCGTTGCCACAGCGGCCCCCGCTGCTGCATGAGCTTCGGCATGGCGGCATCCCCTCCGAGAAGCATGCGCTGCTCCTGCTCGTCATCAAGCTCCTCGCACACTGATGGTTGGACCTGATGCCCAAAGCGAATGAAGCCGAAGGCCGCGCTGCCACCTTTGTCCTGGGCAGCCGCGCACGCCCGTGCCTTCCACTCGCCCTGGTTGGCCCGCGTGTCCCGCTGACGCAGCTGCACCAGGTACTCATCCAGCGCCTCCAGCATGTAGCCCACTGCTGACGAACTGCCTGACCTCAAGACTGCAACCACCTCGCTGATGGACATCCCCGCCAGGGGCCCTGACGACGGCCACCAGCCACCCTCAATCACAAAGCCCCCGATGACCTGCAGCTGGCGGCTCAGACGCGAGAGCCTGGGCCAGCCTTGCTCCAGCATGTAGGCCTTCTGCTGAGCAGCTCTCCTCGCTGCCGGTGCTAAAGAGGCCATCCGTCTGAACTCCAATGATGACCTGGCTTTGAACTGTCGGCTCCACTCCCGCGCCAGGGGAACTCGCTTCAGCTTGAGACCTGCAGCGCGCCCCCGTCGCCCCTCGTAGACATCGCGCAGCTGGCGCAAGTAGTCCTCGGCGTGCAAGAACCAGCTCCCAACTGCCTTCTGGTTGTCCACGGCTCCGCGCCCGACGGCCAGAACCATTCGTCATCTTCGACCTCTCGCGGCGCAGGGCGCACTGGTGGTGGAAGTTGGAGAGGCAACCCTTCGGGTCCGTCCGCCGCCGTCACTGCGGCTCTCGCACGGAGCCCCCTGAGCTCGAGCAGAACAGGCGTGCGCGCGCAGATCGGCGCGCCCAGCATTGGTTGCACCTCCATGTCCAGACCCGCAAGGAATTTGGAACAGATGAAGAAATCTAGCTTCCTGCTGCCGCAGGTCGCTTCCTCTGCAGCTGCAATAACCCCGCTGGCTCGCCGAGCCCACTCATGCACGCCCAGCGGCTCAAGACCCCAGTCGCCCCCAACAACCCATGGCCCTGGAAGCGGGGGCACGAGCTGCATCAAGGCACTGAAGAAAGAGAGACATTCTGCGCGGCCATGTTGATCTTGGCCGCCAGGTACACCGAAACAACATAGACAAACACCGCGATGCCAGCGCTGAAGGCCGCAACCTGACATCTGCTTGCAGGAAGGTCTCGACGGAGAGAAGCTGGACCCCCCCCCCCCGCCCCAGCACAGGCACGAACGACGAAATAACCACACCAGCAGATGACTCGGTCACACCTTCTCCTGTGCTTTTTGCCTTGTCAAGCAGAAGTTGCCCTCCAGGCATGTCACTCGCAGACCGTCTCCTGGCCGAGTTGAGCTGCTCCTCGAACTTGAGCCGATGCTCCTGCAACAGGAAGGCGTTGGGCGCCGTTCTGTCTGCATCAACTTCGGCATACCATGCGCACGCATCTTGAGCCCTGGACCAGGCAGTGGCATTCGCCGTCGGAATGTCCAGGCCCTCCATCTCACCTGGTCCTAAAAACTGTTGATCGTAGGCTGCTTCGAACGCTTCAGGTGGGCGAACTTGACGAGGCCAGACACCGCGCCTCCTCCGCTAGGATCCCAACGTGGCTGTCCGTGCCTTCTTAGCGGGCAAGAGGCACTCCTGGGACCGCTTGAGCTTGTCCCGATCCTCAGGCTTGGATGGGGTCCACCTTTGTGAAGCCTGCGGCCTTGAGACGTGCGGGCAAGTCGGGGTCGTCCCAGTCGGACTGCCGAGCATCCTCCCGCTCGCCTGCAGCACCACCAGAAGCATCATCAGGAATACCGCCGCCTGCAGCATGACGGGCTGCTGCTGCCGCCTCTGGCGCTGCCTGCTGCTCCTGCTGCTTGGCCTGCTCGGCGAGCTTGGTCTTGATGGCGATGCTCTCCGCGCCCAGGGCTGTGCAGAAGACCGCGAGCGGGGCCGCCAGCCCCACCACGTGGTCGGACCCTTTGAGCTTGCCCAAAACCTCTTGCATGAGACTGAGCAGCTCGCTAGTGGTGCCTACGTCCCTCTTGCCCTCCGCCACCTTCCCGAAGACGGGGACAGCGCTGTCCAGCTCCTTCTTCTTGATGATCGCGCTGATCTCAGCCAGCGCCTCACGATGCTGCTTTTGGTACTCCAGCTCCTGATCCAGCTCCGCCTCCTTGGCTGCCAGCGCCTCGCGCGTGTGCGGCACCCGCTCCGAAGCCTTCTCGAGCTGTTTCTCCTTCTTGGTCCTGCGAAAGTGCAAGTGTTGGATAGACTTCTTCGACAGGTCCGCCTTCGCTGGTCCCATTTCTGCATGAACTTCAATGGGGATAAGCGTGGCCGAAATATCTTGAGCCTGCCCTGCCGACAAATCATGCTTGGACGGATTGGCAAGCAGCTCCTGCTGAAGCCTCCGCACCGCTTATGCCAGCGCCTCCTCTTTGTACGAAGCCGTCTTGCTGGTGGACATGGGCCCTTGCCCCTGCTGCCTCCTGGCTTCGGCGGCTCCGCCGTGGACGGCTCCCGAGATAGCATCAAGGACCCATGGCGGCGTTTTTTCCCACACTGCTGGCACTGCAAGCGCCAGCCCCGATGTTTGTGCCCCCCGCATCTGCCATTGCACTTCCACTGACGGACCGGTGACGGGCTGGGTGTCGCACACACTGGCTCGTGACAGCTGTGCCACTTCCAAGAGCGCTGCCACAAAGGTCTGAAACCTGGAAATGGCTAGGAGGAGGAAAAGGAGGAGGAGCAGGAGGAGGAGCAGGAGGCGGAGGAAGAGGCGGGAATATTGTTTCCAGCTTCGCGCTCGTGTACATCCCAGCCGGGCGGCGCGTACAGCATCATGCGGGTTGTCCGCATGGCCCCTCCCGTTTTTTCCAGCGCGTGTCCGCCACTCCCACGCTCGCCTTCCGACCCCCTCCTCCAGGCCAGGGAGGAGCAAGGATGCCAGGGGCAGGGGGCCGGGGGGGGCGCGGCGCCTTGGGGTGCTCCCGGGCGAGAAAGCGGCTGAGGTTGGCGCGGCGCCTCCGGCACGCCCCCGCCAGGGCTGCCGGGCGGCCCGGCCCCGCCAAGATGGAGGGCGCAGAGGAGAAACAGAGGAAAAACAAGTGGAGAGCGAGAAGGAGGCGGAGGAGGAGGAGGAAGAGGAGGAGGATGAAGAGGAGCAGGAGAAGGAGGAGG